AAAAAAAAAAAGAATCATTTATTGAGGTCAGCAGGTGGCGTGATGGTTGAGGAGAGGATTCCCACATGTTTGCTTTCTCACTCCTTTCCCGCCGTGTCTCTCTGATCAAATTAAAATAAATGAATAAATAAGTTAAAATAAATGAATTATTAGTTTTAAAATAGTCATTTATTTTATTTTATTTATTATTATTATTATTTTCAATTTGATATCAGGCATGTGCACTCATAAGAGAGAGGCAGAGAAAGAAAGTGAGAAAGCAAGCTGCCAGGTCTGAGACTCGAACCATGGTCAGCCATGTGGGAGTCCAGCTCCTTACCCACCACAGCACCTGCTGGCCTGAATATTCTTTCATTTATTTTTTTTTTTTTTTGAGAATTTCGAATGTTTCTATTGCGGTCTCAGAAAGCCATAAACTTTATGATGTGGGTCAAGAGAACTCTTACGTATACACATAAAAGACTGAAATTAAAGTTTCATGAAACAGGAGAAAGGAGACTGTGATGACTAGAGCCTGGGTGTGTGGCGGGGCCTTCTCTCTTACTCTCCTCCCCTCTCATGTACACACATGCGTTATATCATGAATAAAGGGGGACAAAACGCTTACAAAAAGAAAGAAAAGAGAAACGTTAGGCTAAAGGAAAACGAACTCCCACTTACCCTGACAACCAATCAGCATACGTCCTAACGTCCTTTGACGCATGTGACTGGACAGCGCTAGCCACTCAGATCTTTGAAGAAGGCTGACAGTACGTAAGAGACAGAGCAAAACAGACAAAGGAAATAAAGTTAGAACAAATCGAGAAGCAGGAAATGAGTTTTTAAATATTATGATTAATAATGTAGATAAAATAGATAGCTTCCAAAATGCAGAACATAAATCTAGAAATAAGGAAAATGACAATGAAAATAGAGTTTTTGAAATTAAAAAATAAATAAGTAAATAAGAACACCATGTTCTGATGTACCTCACTCTGACACTGTCTACGGCACCTCCCCTAGTTCAACTTGAATTGCTGGTCAGTCAAGTACTGTCCCTGAGCATGGCTGCATGGACTTATTCACAAAATATTCCAATACCACCTCAACTGCGTTTTCCTTTTCCGCATTCACTTACAATTTAAACTATCTCAAGCCACCATGAAAAGCTGTATCAAGCCATTGAAAGCATTTAAATAACAGCCAAGGGGGGGGGGGGGGGGGAGGAAGGGGGCAAAAGGAAGAATTTGTTTTCTGTTCCAGAACTCTTTACATATGTAGGTGGCCTTATACTTACCATTTTTCTTTTCAGGGACATCTTTGTCTTTGATGCAGCCCAGGCATGTGGAAACTCTCATGCACCCATCAGGAAACTGAACTTGCTCTCTGTTTTGCAGTGATACCCAGGGGTCGAGGTGGGGCATGGAGAAACACTCTGGTATGAACACTCTGGTAGCCCCTGTTCTCAAATACTTTTCATTTAAGACACATTAAAATTTAGAAGAAGGCTTCTCAGAATACAGCACCACAGCCTCTCTGGAAGCTTTCATGATATACCTCAAAGGATATTTTTGACCCTTCATCTAAAAACAACAGCATAGAGAGAGGAGAAGAATGCTTGGGCTCCTCATGGGGCCAGAACTGCCAAAAGATCTAAGGACAGTTGTGCCCACTGGAAGACGACATGAACCTGTGCTACCCGCCCAGCCCCATGGTGAGTGTGATCAGCCGCTCAAATGGTGACTTGGACTATTTTGCAGGAAACAACCAAAATGAACCCTCTTCCTTCTTTTTCCCTGTCTCTAGAGACAGACATCATTGGACATGCCTCAGAGCCTGGGTTAGAACTCAATCCTGAAAATAAGAAGAGTATGGCAGTGGCATCTCGCACAGAAAGTTCATTTCATGAATAAACAATTCCACTGGAGGTCATGGATGGCTTGGACAGCTAGTGTCCCCTGCCCAAATGAGGTACAGTACATGGTACTAAGATAGAAGTCAGCATAGCTAGTTCATGATTCAGCCCTGAACTCACTCGCTGTGTAACCTGATTTAGGACCAGTCATGCCTTTGTGGCTGTTTCCTCAGCTGAGCAATAGGGACAATACTGATGGCTCCACTGAGACCAGGTATTGGCACAGTGGTAGTACAACAGTACCCATATGGGAAAGGTCCTGGGTTAGTATCCCATAATCCCATAATCCCATAACCTCCCTGAGCACACAGAGCATGTGTGGGCCTGTGATCACAGTCATCTGAGGCTGGGGGGTGGATGGTAGCACGAAGACTCTGTTAAGGAGTGCCTGTGTCTCTCTCTTGAAAAATAACCTTTCAGTTCCCCCATGGAGTGTGTGTGTGTGTGTGTGTGTGTGTGTGTGTATATATTATATATATATATAGGAGACATACAATGTCTCTCTTTCATAGCCTGGCTTGCTTCACTCAGTAGTAAATCTTGCATATTTTTTCATATCTTTTTGCTTGTTATGACTGAGTAGTATTCCGTAGAGTATATGTGACACATTTTTTCAATCCATTCATCTGTTCATGGACATTCAAGTAGGTTCCATGTCTTAGAAATTGTGAATAATGCCACAATAAAAATAAAAACACAAGCACTTTACAGACTGAGCATTCTCCTATCCTTTGAGGTGATACCCAGGAGTGGAATTGCTGGATCATATGGTAGTTCTATTTGGAGATCTTTGAGGAACCTCTATTTTGTTCTCCACAGTGCCTGGACTAATTTACATTCCCACCAACAGTGTAGGAGAGTTCCCTTTTTACCACAGATTAGTAAGACTTTTTAACATAATTTTTTAGATTAATGAAAAATTATGTCTGGGCGTAGGAAAAACACGTGAGATTTTTTTTTTCTTTTCATAGTAAAAAGAGGAGTAACTAGTTTGCAGACTCCTTCATGGGGCACAACCCAGTTGTCTCTCATTTCCTGTTCCTCAAGATAAAACTAACTGCTCTACCCCTTGGTCCCAATACCAATATATTATCTTTTCCTTTATCATCTTTGTAGTGACACTCAGAAAGTCAGCCACTGTCTAGTCCAGAGGCTGTGAATTCAGGTGACAGAAGAACCAGGTAAGTAACATAAATGAGTGGACCAAGCTGGGGGTGGGGAAACATGACCATCCCAAGATGACCTATGCTGGCAAAGGGGCCATGACTACTCTGCTCCTGAAATTGTTGGGTTTTGCAGTCGTTCAAGAACAGATGGAAATCTAGAGGTTTATATAAAACATTTGAATGCTGAAAGGTTAACCCAAGATTTTTTAAATGTCTGAAACACAGTAGGTCCAAAGTGCAACCTCTTTTGTAGCCTAACCCCTTTATTTCCACAAGGAAGAATCCTGAGCCCTAAAACCCAACATAGTATAGTTTAAGACTATGGACTTGGAGTTGGCCAAAGCTAGGACTCAAACATTCTGTCTGCAGCTAATTTATGATACGGTCTGGAGGGACCAGCAGTTAGCATAATGGCTACATCTCTGGACTCCCACGTAGTCGACCGCAGTTCGAGTCCCAGACCCGGTGGCTTAAAACTCACACCAGGCGTGTGTGCGTGCGTGCCCAGGATCCCGAGAGAATGGAGGAGAAGGGATTGCAGTGTAGCCATCCCCCCTGGGGGGTGAATTCTAGCTTTCTATCTCTCTGTCTCTCTCTCTCTGTCTGGCAAGCACACGTGCCCTATAGCAAAAACCTCTTAAAAAAAAATACAGTAATGATATGGTCTGGAGTAAATTTCTTACTCTTTTTGAACCCCAGTTCCTTCAACTGAGAAAGAGGGTAATCCTCTATCCCTCATAAAGTTTTTGAAGGAATTAAATAAGATCATAGATTTGCTACATAAAAATTATCAGGTACACAATAGGTATTCAATAAATGTTTCCTTTTCTCTCAAGGCCAGAAGCTAATGATATCACTAGAGCAAGAACCTATAAATCTATGTCCTGAGTCCCCCTTGGTTCCCCCCAGCCCACATCCCAGTATTTCCTGGTCTTCATAGTTCTCATTTTCAGAGACATCACATACGATTTATCCTGGAGCTTGAGCCCTGAGCTATGACTGGGGATGCCTTTGACTTCCTATGAACAAGCCACACCACTTCCTATAGGTCTCACTTTTCCTTTCTGGAATAAAAATAACAACCACCATTAAATGAGAGAATAAATTTATATATTAATATATTAACCTAAATCACAGTAGACCCATCTGCAAAAACCTGGATATCCATGAGTCTGGGATCAGCCTCCGATATATCAATGCTCAACAAATGTGTTCTAAAATGTAAGTTTTACTATTTTGCAGGTATTATGAATTCAACAGATCAGGAGATTATTATCACAGAAAATGACAGACAGCTTGCTCCTCATAGCTCCCAAGATGAGAGGGCATGGGATGTCACACAGGCCACTCGGGGAAGCGCCAAAGTCAGTCAGCAGCGAACAAAGGAAGCAAGAGGGAACTGTGGGCAAGAACCTTTACTGCAGTTAACACAGGAAGCACTGTGCAAGGCAGGTAAGGAAGTTCAAAACAGGCTAGTTTGAATCATTTCAGCAGGCTCAGCGAAGTAGGAACTGACCGTAGATGTCTGGCAGCCCTAGGGGGACCAGAACAGGGGATCGTGGCCCAGAGTGGTTAAGTCCTCCAAGAGCCCTGAAAGGTCTTAGTTGGAGCATGAGTTCTGGATTGGCTGGCTTGCATATGAAATGTGTGCTTGGAGGCCAGGAACTGGCTGGGGCTGGCAGAGGTAGTCCCTCCAGGGTCAGTAAGGTTCTAAATGTCAAGCCTTAGAAACCCAGAAAGAGGAAATGCATGATTACTACATAATGTTCTTAAATCAGTGTTTATCCCCTTTAGCCATTGCTAGAAACATCAGCAGCACGTTGGAGAGGCTTCCTTAACAGGTTCCCAATACAATGAAGAGGGTATGTTACTAAGAGCCTCTGCAGAGAAAGGTCTCTCATGAACAAAAAGAAGAGGAGACCAAGGTGGTCAGAATGGAAAGCATGCAAGATACTAATGCACCCCCAAGCCCAAAGCAGGGTAAGCCATGCTGCTAAGAGGGGGAAAAAAAAAAAAAAGGTTTTATTTTGCTTTGTTTTTCTTCCAGGTAAGCACAGTCCACGCCCTCAGTTGCTAACATCCCAGGGCCCTCTTTCTGAGACTAAATGATGCCTCCACTCTGTCTGAGTGATGAAAATTACATTTGGACCCAGAGATTGCAATGGAATGAAGATTATTCTGCTTGAGTGCATTGACCTTTATCAACCATCTCATCAGAATTTCTGGAGCATGAATCTGTGCTAGGCGCCCTCTGCAACAGTTTGTAAGAAGAAGGATCATTCTTTTCTGGCTCAAGTCCAAAGCATCATGCTCAAGCATCTAGAGATGGGAAAAGCAAATCAAATCCATAGCCTTTTGAAATCTACTTAGGGAATAGTTGTGGGAGACAACAAAAACAGCAGTCAGGCTGCATAAATATCTAGAGAATCCTGGTTTTTACTTGGGTCTAGCTGAAAAAAAAAATTACATTTCTCAATATTCCTCCAATTCAGTCTTGGAGTGGGCATTACACAAATTTACTGGGTTGAGGCTCTTCTCTCAGTTTGACTAGATGATCAGGAAAGAATGGTTAGTACACAGACACGAACTCATGTTCACAAAAAAAAAAAACAAAAAAAAACAAGCTTTTAAACCCAGATTACCAAGATTTTAAAGACCAGGCAACATTTTACTATTTAAGAAAAAATATTTATTTGCAAGAAATGGAAATACAAAAGCATAACAATTTCAATTTATATTTTTTTCAAACTACCAGTAACCTACAAAGCTTTTTTTATTTTTGGTATTTACCTGGCTAAGATAACGAATAAAAAGCCATAAAAACAATGCAATAGGACAGATAATAGACTCACAAGGTATTTAAAGACAGCTGGTCTATATAACTTGTTACAAAAGAGAGGAAAGCCCGAGTGTCAGCATAGACATGAAAGCTCACTGCTGATGGTAGTCCAGGGTCTGCACTGTTAAAACGGGTCACTCACAGTCTGTCAAAGTGTGCTGGTGTTTTCCATAGACTCAGAAAGCATTTTACCTGAAAAGGAGATTTCTGAAGTAGTATGGGCCATGAGTCTATGATGTGAAAAGTTTATGTTCTCCCCCAGCTGGTGAGCAAAGGATGGGAGCAGAGAAATACGACCCAAGACCTCTGGTTTCCATTTTTCCAGAGACAAATAGAAGGTTGGAAGGACAAGACAGGAGACGGATACCAGGTGGAGAGCTCTAGCGTGGGGTAAAGAACTAAAATGTGTTTCCTGCTCAAAAAACCTGAATAATGTACAGTGTGTTCACAGAATCTGCTCAACGTACTCCACAAATCATTGCATTTTCAACATCACTTAGTTCTTTATCCATCTCAAGGTAACCAGTCACTCTTGTTTTCTGTATTTATAAAACAAAAAGACTTAAAACTTGCTTAACATAGCACCCAAGACCTCGGTAAGTATTCAAGAAATATGTCCTTTCCTTCTAGACACTAAGATAAACTAAAGCATTCTAGAATTTTATGTTGCCCCAGATAACAGAATGAAACAACACCCAGCCTTTCCTTGTAGTTAATGTCGATCCTCTGGCCACAAAGCATGAAGGGTTATTCTTCAAAGGTAGGTTTCTCTGCACTGAGAAGTGCTCTGCTGAGAGGACTTTAATATCTTTAATCCTGGCTGGCCATTTTTTTTGATGTGCTCGCACCCTTACAAAATGGGATCTTCCCACTGGACATAACCCCATTACTTTTCTCCCGATGTGCCAATCTGATAGTGGCTCAATTTCAGGAAACCAATTTTGAGCTTTCAGAAAATGTTCCTTCCCCTTACCCACTTCGATCTAATACTATAAGGCTATACATAAAATCTCCCAGCAATGAGGAATTCCTGTCATCCTGCACTCATCTATAAGGCATGTTTAAGGCATACATGAGTATCTAAGACAAGAAAGGAGTGTGGGTGTGTGTATGTGTGCATGTGCATGTGCACCCAGATGCACCTGTGAGAAAGAGACAGACAAGCAGGGAGACCTAGCACAAGGGTCTTGCGGGACAGCTACTAGCCAGTGAAATTTCCTCAGTCCCTCGTATTCTCCAATACTCCCTAGGATCTCAGTCCTCTTTTTTAGCAAAACTGAAAAGTCCTAGGAGTAACTGAGTGAATGAATGGATGAGTAAAAAATCTGAAATCTGTCTCTGGCTCTTCCACTGGCCTCTATTCTCTCTTGTTACTGTCCTCTCAAGGGGGGGTTACCCGATCACATGTCTACAATAACCTCAGCTGAAAACATTCCTATAAAGTGACCCTCGCTAAAGAACTCCCTGGTAATGGCATCAGAGGTCCTGCCAGCACTGCAAGCAGGAGAAAGCAGATTTCCCAGAGACAGGATTCAGTAGAACCAAATGAGTCACTAGTGGCAGATGGGGGAGGCTAAACGTCTTCCCTTGCGTCTCTGCTTCCATGTTAGCAAAGCCAACACAGACGGTCCACCCTTTCACTGGGGGTAGGACATCTTCATTTCTGGATTGTGCTTAAGTCCCACCTTGTATGCTATGCTTATTCTAAGGAGCTGGGCTGGGGGGCCTGATTCTGCTCTGTGCTTCTGCTCCCTCTGAGGACCTGGCAGGGAGGGCCATGAACTTCTGAAGGAAAAAAAAATCTAAGAACATCCTATGACAAAAATGCTGGACACTGAATCACGGCCAGAATACAGAGGAATCGATTCAACATCCCTCCTCCATGGCACTTAGATTCACAGCCACCTTTTGATATCCAACCAGAACCGAGAGACACAGGAAGGGGAAAACCACGGTATTTATAGTTGGTTTGTAAATTAGCTGAACTAAAAACTGCCTTTGCAACCTACAAATTAGGTCTCCAAAGCAAAATCATTTCTATTAACCAAAAGGTTATCTAATTTTGCCTACACCAGTGTCAAGTCTCATCCCCGCCCCCTGCCAGAAAGGAGCAACCCAGTTCAGCTGTCAGATTTTTATATAACACTCTTTCTATGAGCAAGACTCCAGACTCCTAACATTTCACAGAAATTCCTTCCTAAAACTGGCACTGAGGCCTTTCGTTTACAGTTCCCATTTCCAAGTGCGAAGTCGAGAGCTGGGAGAAGAATCATGCTGAGGGGCAGAGGGGTCTGAGTTACCAGGTCTCATCTGGGGAAAGATTACTTGTTCTCTGAAACTTTGCAAGACCTCTCCTTCATTAGTGTAGCCAAAGGAAGGAAAAAGAAAAATGTGTTTACTGATGAAAGACATAATAAAGAGACCTATTTTTCATGACTCTCGGTTGTCCCCACAAGCTTTGAGCATCTTTCAAAACTTAAGTTCAGGCACTAATGTCTGCTATTACTTGGAATCTCCCAAGCTGACCAGGAATTACTGTTAGTCTATGAGACTGCTCAGTGGGGAAAACAAATCCACTGACATTGACGGTTTAACCCTTCAACGGGAAGGGTGCATACACACCCATTCACTATTTGGAATCAATCTGGTGTTATCCAGCCCTCTGGTATTCTCTTGATCCCATTTTGTACTGAACAAAGGTTAACTGTTTCATTCTCTTGACTCACTCAAATAAGCAGAAGACAGATGTTTCTTGAAAGTGAAGCAATGTAAGTTCCTGGAACCTCCTTCAAAGGGCCATTTGTGCTCTCAGGCTAATGTTCCATGTCTCCAAATACAGATTATGTTCTGGAAGGCCAGCTTCCTAAAGAGAAAACCCTGCTGCTTGGAGATTTGGAGAAAGTAGCGTTAAGCAAGGGAGATAAGAGAGAAAACGAAATCTTCAATGCACTAAGGACAAAGGCTACAAGTGTCCTTTTTCTTCTCCCTCCTCATGCCGGGGAACAGGTTCCCTATTCTGGCTATTTCTGGGAGCCTTGGAAACACAATCTGCTTCAGTTGCAGCAGGTGGCTGCCTAGACAGTCACTTCTCTCAGTTCTGCCTTTAAACATAAACCCCTTCCTTTCTCATTGCCCGAATACTCCTTGAGTTAATTCTAGCTTTTTACCTTTTCAAGGCCCCATAGGCTGCCTACGTCAGAATATTACATGGCATATTCAAGAGAGAGATGAGGCAGCAGAGGCCCACAGCTACCAGACACAGGGCAGGCACAGGCGAGTGGAGCAGAGAGGCAGAAGTGGATGCGCATTGGCAGCAGTCCTCCTGCAGAGCCAGACAGTCCCAGCCCGCCCTGGCCAGTGCAAGGGGCAGTGAGAATCGTCCAGACAGCAGGGCTGCCAGGACCACGGCAGTCTCAACCCAGCTTTCACATACTGTGAGAAGGGGAACTTGGCCACCTCCTCATCTGGAAACATTTCCATCACAGTAAAGAGAGAGGAATCACTCACCACAGTGACCCCAAATGGACTGAGACAGACAAAACAGGGATCCGCTTAGGAGGTCTGATGGCAACTGTTAATGACACCAAATCCTATATCTGATACGGAATGAAAGAGCGGGGAGTGGGCTTAATCCCTCTTAAGTATAAGCTCCAATGACAACATAGATGACAAGACAGAGAGACAGAGGGAGAGAGAGAGGGAGAGAGAGAGAAGAGCTTATGCTAAAGACCCCACAGCCACTACTAAAAATAAAATACAATATGTAAGCAAATTTCCTACACAAAATCTTTTTTTACAAACTAGGAATAAACACTGAAGGGGAGTCTTCTACATTACACAACAAAAGGTCATTTCCATTTATTGTTTGTATGAAAGAAGAAAGATTTTTAAAACTACAAAAGTTACTTTTAATCATTAAAAAAATAATAAAAAGTAGGTTGGGGGATAGGTTGTATCTCTTTGGGTGAGCTGCAAAGTAGCCAAACCTGACTCTAACAGGTAAGAACATGGATGCACGAATGGCACCACTCTGACTCCTTCTGTTGAGGCAGAGGAAGAAGAGAGGAGGGCAAAGTAGAAGCAGGGTGGGTGGTGAGGGAGGAGCCAGGGACAGGTGGAAAGACAATCTAGCAAGGTTATCCAAATGCCTGTTGTCAGGAGCAGGGCTTCCCGCTTATTATGGGAACAAGACAGACAGAGAAACCATGGGGCTGCAGAGACACAGACCCAAACAAAGCACAGCCCCATCTTTCCCACCGAGTTCCTCTGGCAGAGGACACATGCTCAAGGGGATTTTTCAATAGAAACTATTTAAAAAAAAAAAAAAAAAAAGAAGAAAGAAAAGGAGAAAGAAAGATGACAAAACACCACCTGGAAAGTGGGAGCCCAGAGCCCAGGTGCCCTCCTAGCGCCAGAGGCCCACAGAAGACTTAGCTAGCTTGGAGGGAGGCAACCGGACCTCTCCAGTGTGGTTGCTAGCAGGAGGCCTCGGCAAGCTAATAAATACTATTTACAAGTGGGGAGGAGAAGCTGGGGTGGGGGGCAGACCTATGCAGATGTGGGGAACCTGGGCATGGGGAAGATCTACAAGCAACAAGATGGGGCAGGTTCGCCTGGAGTAGAATAGCCTGATTCCTTCAGGCATTGCACTTGCGGCCTGAGAATGTGAAGGGGCAGCCCTCGCCTGTCAGGGCTGGTGCCGGGAGGACTGTCCAGCGAGGGCTCCGAGAGCCAGAGTGGGAGAGAGGGGAGCTGACAAGGTGGGCACTCACACCAGAGACCCAGGGATGAGCAGGGAAGGACATGGGTCAGTGCTTTGCCAAATCCTAATAGCATCATGGCATTTCTGTGGCTAGGGTCTGTGGTCACAAGAGTTGTCTATTCTTCAAAGAGGAGTCACACCGCACAGGTGAGAATCAGGCAGTATCTCTTTGGCAATACTTTAGAAATGAGCCTGCTTGTCCCAGCCTCCACCCCTGAAACAATTTCCTATGGCAGTAAGAGAAGGGAGGAAAGGTGGGCTCCGTGCTGCATGGGAGGGGCACAGACAGGGAAAGACAAGGCCTGCACTGCTAACAGAGCTCCTAGGCTGGCCCCCCTACCCCAGCCACAACCGCTCATCCATGTCTTCATCAAGATCCAGAGGCAAAGAGGAAAGAAAAGATTACAACAAAAGGGGTTTGGAGATACGAAAGAAGAGTTAAGGGAAACAGAGAGGGTGGAGTCGGCCTCTTCAGAAGGTGGTGTTCACTCTTCTGTCGAGCTCTACAACGTTGAGTGTTTCGTTCCCCTCCAGTTTGGTGCTGACCCTGTGAAGGCATTGAAAAGAAAAAGAAGGATTAGCCGCCATGTGTGACAGTGATTCTTGAGCTTCGTGACTGATTCAGTGATTCAATGACTGCAACTTTGTGAGCTGGCTCGGGCATGATTCTTGTTCTTTTCCCCTCCTTGTAGCCATTCTCTCCTCCCAAGGTACCAGTTCACCCACTCATTCACATGCCCACCTTCATCCACCCAAGCCAAGACATCCCAACTCAGAGGATAAGCACCATGGTTTAATACCGAGTTGTTATAAATTGCCTTAATCTTCTGCACTTACAAAGGGTACTTGGCCTATGCTAACCAGTGGGAAGAAGAAAATGGAAGGAGAAGGGTTGGTCCCTGGTCTAGAAGAGCTAGCAATCCAGATGGACTCTTAACGTGAACTAATTTGAAATAATAATAAATATATAACAGAAAATAAGCATGTTAATTGTGCAATAGCCTAGAAAGTCTCTTGGCACTCAGAAGAGGGTTAGGAGGGCTTATTATCTGGAAATATCCCAGAACAAGTGGGATTTGAATGGGACTTTGAACAACTGAGTTAAGAGGGCAGAGACTTGTGTCATAAACCAAGCAATTGACCAGCTGGGTCTTCCACAGCTTCCAGTAACAGTCCCAGATTTTCTCTACAACAGGAATACTAATAACAACTCGCCTCTAGGGTAGGTAAAAGGGTCATACAAATGGTATTTGTAAAGTGCTTAAAGTAGCGCAATAATGTACACATAAGAAGTATACATAATTCTGAATCTTCCTTCCTCCCTGGGGTCAGGAGAAGAAGGCTACAGAATCCGAAGTGGAAGCTTTCCCACTTACATTGGAACAGCCTCATTGCCGGGAGGCAGAGGAGCAGAGTTAAGGTAAATCACCAACCACACCACACAGGAGTGTGTGTGCAGGACCCCTGACTGTGCCGATTGGCATAGCCAGGTGCCTCCCTGCCACAACAGCAATACCTGGTGGCCATGCAAGCCTTTGTGTTTACAATGGGCTTTCCCTCTAACCATCTAAGAGAAGCAGCACTTGGAGAACTGGAGCCCAGCACAGATTATCTTCAGTGTAAAGACAAGTGCATGCACAGTGCCTCTCAAATGGTTTTCCCCAATACATAATGAAATGTGTAGTCATAATACATGTGTTTTTACAGATAAATCATAAACACCTGTCACTCTGTAACACAACACACATTTACTCCCTAGGGGGAAGAAAGCTACAGACTATGTCTTCAGGTGCACTGACATAAACACATTGCTGTAACCTGGACTGCATGCTCACTCATGTGGTTTTGGAGGGAGAATGGGGCCTAGGTTCATTCCAGCAGTACCACAAGTAAACCCAAATGGAAAAGGTCCTAGGTTCATGTCCCGGGACTTCCCTGATATTACTGAGCATGCGTGTGCCTGTGATCCAGGCTGGCTGAGATAGAGTCGGACACTGCACGAGGACCCTGTGGGGCACCCATCCCTTGACCTGTCTCTCTTTCATGAAAGAAATAAATAAACTTAAAGGGAAGAAAAAAAAAAAAAGATGGTAGAGGAAGGGGTTAAGGTCCTCCCCTACTTATGCCGTAGACGTGGGGGAGCTCATGAGACATCTCTCCCCTGTCTCTGCTCAGGGCAGTCATTGACCCACGGCATAGTCTCCTCCGTCTCAGGTCGTGGAAATAGGTGCTGAGAGAGCCAAGAGACTGGATGAGGCTTGGAACATTGACACCCTACACTGCAGATTGCTGAGTCATAACGCACCCCAGGGCACTAAAGGAGTCAATCTGTGTGCATGTGACTCACAGGTGCTGTTGCAGCTCCAACAGCACTGACTTCTCCAGGCTGGTCTCATTTGAGATAATGAAGTGGGGAAGATCCACATCCGGCCTGGACTCCAGCCCTGATGCTCTGAGCAATGAGGATCCTCGATCCCAGGCCCCAAGCTCCCCAGCTGAGGCTGGGCTGGACGGCTCCTCCAGGGGAGAATGTTCCTCATAGATCAGCAGGTTCCTGGATCTCACTGAGGACAAAGCAAAGTAACAAGGTGTGAGCAGAAGACTGCTGGGGTTCAGCACAGTCCCTCATCCCAGGTGCCCGGGGCTGGAGGCAGATGACAACTGGTGTGTTCTCGTTGCCTAGCAGAGGGTGCCTGCTGGACTTGGCTTTCTGTAAAGGCTTCAGGCTTTTGGAGTTTGTGCAATGAAAAATTATAGCAATTATACAGTGCTGGAAGAACAATAGAAAAGCAAATAAACATGAAGCAAACTACCACCCCCACTGCTTTGAAAATAAAACTCTCCTCCTTATCCACCCAAAAACAATTTGTGGAGAATATGGGAGTCAAATATTTAGAGCTGTCCAGACCCAGCTAAAAGATGCAGCATCCCCAGTGAGTAGCTCTTGCAGCGAGACAAGGGACAAGGGCATTTTCCTGTAGAAACTGGAGAGAGGACACAAAACCACAAATCAAAGGACAGAGCCTCTTTGTTTTAGAGGATGGTCACATAACTAGATGGCTTGGTAGCAATTTTCCACAACATAGAAGCTGTGTTCCCATTGGCTCTCAATTAAATTTAGAAATATATTTCCTTGAGAAAAAAAGAATTTCCCCATGGGCCACTGAAATGATTTGATTAGACTGTTAGTACTTCTGGCATGTAGTTGGCAGGAATACACCTGCTGGTGAAAATCGAGACTTTTCACAATGGCAAAATTATCCCTATCCCCAATCTAATACTCTGAATTTCATGTTTGTTCTTATTAGTGTGTACACATATTTGCCCGTACTCCTTACTCAACACCCCTTTACTTCCTGTATATGTAAAAGAGATTCCTGGCTAGATGAAAACATCATGTATTTCTTTTGTAGCACCAGAGCCTCCAAATCTTGGGCGTTGTGTTTTATAAAACAGACAGGGGACCAGCAGTTGGCGTAATGGCTATGTCGCTGTACTCCCACATAGTCGACCGCGGTTCGTGTCCTGGACCCGGTGGCTTAAAACTCACGCCAGGCGCGTGTGCATGTGTGCCCAAGATCCCGAGAGGAGAATGGAGGAGAAGGGATTGCGGCATGGCCACCCCCTTGGGGGGAGATTTTTTGCTTTCTGTCTCTCTGTCTCTCTCTGTCCTTCTGGCAAGCACACGTGCCCTACAGCAAAAAAAACAAACAAACAAAAAAAAAACTCTCAAAAAAAAAAAAAAAGAAAGAAAAGAAAAGAAAACCCAGACTGATTCCTCAATTTGATTCAATTTAACAAACTCTACAAAAGCATTTCATAGGACTGAGTGGAGGTAGAAATACAGGCATTCTCTTAAAATGTCACAAGAAGCTTCACACTCTTCCCTCCCTCATCCCTAACCTCCTTGGCTGTCGGGAGATACAGTCTAGGGTAGAGATTTGCAGATGGTGTTCTGCTGAGCTCTGGAGCACAGCCCACTAGGACAGGAGCACAAGGGAAGCTGCAGTCTGGGTACCAGACTCCCACGTGCCTCTTCAAGTGGAGAAACTCCATTTTACCACTTTTAAAAACTTGGACTGTTAGGTCAGCCTGTAGCCTAATGGTTAAAAGAGTCAGATTCCACATGGTCGATCCTTTTCCACTCCTGATCCTAGAAGCCTGAAAAACACATGCTCATATGTGTGCACACCCCAAATCTTCACAGGGTGGAGAAATGGAAGAGAAGGGACTGCTTTATGATCATGTTCCAGTGAGGAGTGCTTCAATCTTCTCTCTCTCTCTCTCTGACAAGTACGCACACTCCCTGGCAACTAAACACTAAATGGATAATTTGTACTTTCACCACAGATTCCTTTCAGAAAGCTAAGAAATCAACCCAAGAGACTTGGTAGGTGCAGAGCGCTCTTACCAACAGAAGCTGTGTATGGCTCGGGCATGGAATGCTGGCTGGGCAGCGCCATCTTGGTAGCAGAAGGGTAGGGTCCGTAGCCCTGGAAGAAGCTGCCAAATGCAACAGCAAAGCAGAGCACGACAACCTGGAGCAGAAGGACAGAAATGGAGCTGAGGAGTCAATCCAGGCACCAGAGCAAACCTTTAGATCTCCATCACCTGGGACACCAGGGAGCACACATCCCTTTGCCAGGCTAGCAGACAGCACCCTAGGGCACGGCACTGTGATGCCCACAGCCGGACAGCCGACAGCAAGCTGCCTGGTCTCTCCCACTGCACAGCACTTGGCCGTGGCAAACTGGAAGGGCTAGAGTTGAGCTGGGCTGGAGCAGGTACCACACTGTCCTCTGGGACACTCACCATGAGGCAGGTGCCGGTCTGTGTGCCAGCTAACTTGCAAGTACGAGAGACTTTCCCCATCACCAAGGTCTGAAGCTTCTGGAGTTGCTGAAGGAGAGTTCTGTCAATGATAATGCATACAAGCCATGAAGAGAGTCTGAGAGATGGCACATGCTTTTTTGTACCCCCCACCCCATATGCCGGGACAGTTGCTAAAACTCTGCATCTGCCTTGAACAGAGAATTGAGGAGCAGTTTCCTCTGGAGGAAGAAACGGGTACCAGTTTCCAATGAAGAGTTCACTGGGGCTCAGAATGAGCCTTAACACTTTCATAGCTAGATCTACTCTCGTGCTATTCCGAGGTAGAGGTGAATGCCCCCACATCACCCCTGGAAGGCCATGACTTGTTTGCCAAACACTGAGAACAAAATCATAGAACAGGCTGATGGGATGGTCGTTGATGGTCTCAAAGTGCGTGTCCCTCCCAAAGTCTTAGGTTGAAATCTAGCCCCTAACAGGATGGTAGCAGGAGGTGAGGCCTTTGGGAGTGGAGTGGCTCATGAGAGCAGAGTTTTCATAACTGGGTGTCGGCGTCTGCCCCAGGGCTTGGGTCTGGTTGAATCATGATCAGGGCGCTGCCGGTGGGGAAGAGAAAGAGGACGACAAAGAGAAAGCCCTCCATCTTGCCAGGACCTGGGAACTGGAAAGAATGAGACAAAGGGAGAGAGTAGAAATGCCGATGGAAACATAAGAAAGGAGAAAAGTCAGGAGAGGAAGGAAGGAGAGCAAAAATGGCAAATGGCATAGAACAACTGAAGGAGCGGCCAGAGAAGTAGCCCTGGTTGGAAACGCCAACCGCACCACTGGGTATTCAAACAGCAAATTAGGAGAGAGAGCAGAGTCAGAGAGACAGAGAGAGAAGAGAGAAGGAGGTGGAAGAGGAGAGGAAAAGCAAAAAGGGCCTTGGGTAGGGCAGGAGGCAAGCAGCCATCTGTACCTCAAGCCTGTGATTCCAAAAGGCTCATATCACCTCCACAGTCAGAAATGAAGCCCAAAACTGAAAGAGTGAAGATGCCTGCTTAATTGGAGCCCCACACTTAGGGACAGCGACTGTGAAAACTACACTCTTTGAACATGAGAATAGCATTATATACTCTGCTTTGAGTGGCATCTGGACACAGAGAGAGCAGTTGGTGAAATTCTTTGCAAATTCTGAACACTGCAAAGCACAGAAAAGCATCTGACAACACACCCTCCTGAACAGAGCAGCCAGATGACTTCAGCATGAATGGTGTAAAGAGCTGAAGCTGCTCCCGCCCTCATCCCTTAGCCTCAAGCCCAACGCACATTGCGAAGTGGAAAGATGTGATGAGCAGATACTTTTCCTTGAGTCTCAAGGATTTTCAGAAAATTCATGCTGTGAGGGAACGTTAGAGCGCCACACAAGCTCGCTGGGGAACTTCAGCAAATTCATTCTTTGCAGAAGAATTCAAGCTTTCACAGATAACTTGCTTCTCATCACAGTCTGTCCCCTGAATAGCTTTTAAGTACTAGTAGGACAAATAGATTTTTCCAGGGTTTGAAACTTTTCCTCTGGCTAAGTACCAATGAAACAAGTTCTCCCAACTTAGGCAAATTAAAAACAGGTTGGCTATCAGAATGGTTTTGCTTTCGGCAGTTTAAATGAATTGGAGCAATGGGAGACTTGGGGCACTGGCCCAGTGCACATAATGGGCATTTTCTAAACTCGAAAATCCCTGCACGGTCCCACCTACTCCACATTTTTGTCTGGCACATTGATGTGAATTTAAGTGAAACAAAACCATTTATCCTATGGATTAGTATCATTAATTTAAGTTCTATTCAGGACTGGCCCCATTGCCTAGCAGTTACGGTAACTGGATTCCATATGGCCAACCACAGTTCAAGTCCTAGCACCAGTGGCTTGAAAAACACATTTGGGTCATGGGTTCATGACTTGAAAAACATCTAGGTTAGGGGCACGTGCATGCCACAAATCCCAACAGGAAATGAAGAAGGGATTGTGGTGTGGTCATGCCCCTTTAAGAGTTGTTTTTTCTCCTCCCCCTCTCTCTCTCTAGCAAGCACATGTGCACTCAGGCAATAAAATCCTTTTTAAAAATTTCTATTTAATATGGAGGAGACCAGCAGTTAGCGTAATGGCTATGTCGCTGAACTCCCACATAGTCGACTGTGGTACGTGTCCTGGACCCGGTGGCTTAAAACTCACGTGGGGCGCATGTGCGCGCATGCCCAAGATCCCGAGAGGAGAATGGAGGAGAAGGGATTGCGGCGTGGCCATCCTGCCTGGGGGGTGACTTCTCGCTTTCTGTCTCTCTTTCTCTCTCTGTCTGGCGAGCGCACTCGCTCTATAGCAAAAACCTCTCCCCAAAAAAAGAACAAAAATTCTATTTAATATGGAGGTCTGATTTGTACTTAATTTTATATTGTTTCTGGTTATACAGAAGTGACCACATGTAGCTCGGACCTGGATTATGCTGTTTATATACATTCAAACAACATATTCTTCCTTTTTAAGTTTGTCAGAGGTCACGCGCACTCACCAGAGACTCAAGGCTGAGAAATACCGATAGTGTGATTATTTTAAATTGCACCTAAAGAAAAGGTTTGCAACTATGTGGACCTTTGCTACAACACCTTTTTTCTCGTCAACCTTTTCTCTCTTCCCCAGAAAGCCCTCCTCCCACTCACCAGCGCAATATCTTTCAAAACAGAGCTGAGTGATCTGCACAGCCATTTCTGGAGAGGGCCTGCATTCTCACAGAGCTGAGGGTTTGTTGGCCCTTGTACATATTAGACTGACAGCAACTGTAAAGTCATTTCCCAAAGCCTCATTGGGTGCCCCCTGCTTGTGTTTCCGAAGTCCTGGGGCAGACATAGAAGTCGGCCCATTGATAAAACCATGCATCACATAAGCCCTTTTCTCTCGAGCTGGCCACAGCCCATGGAATCTTTGCTGACTGCTAAGCTGTGAAAGGGGCCTCCCTGCTCCCTTGGCCTATTGAAAGACGCTCCATCGAGTGATGGTTGCCACTTGCACCAGGGACCCCACCTTTTCCCTGGGCACTCCTGCTTCCTCAAAGTGCTGAAGTTTAGCTGTGCTCTGGGGGCAGCTCTTCCCCACATAGCCTTCAGTTACACGGTGCCTTTCCAGATGGTACTAAAGCCATGCTCCTTTTGCTCCAAAGGCTTTAGGTATTTGGAAAGAGAAACCATCACTTCCAGTTTTTACCAGCAGTGCCCACTTACCCACAACCATCCCTTACTTCTTCCCTGCCCATCCCCTACTCCTTGCCTGTTTTTGGAGTGTGTACACAGAGGAAACAAATTCCACGTAACAGTCAGAATCACTTCTCCCTTCCAATGTGTGGTAGAGATCACAGGGCCTGGTGCACCTGTCCCTAGAATGAACAGAACCCCAGGAGGCTCCCCGGTACCTCCTGAAGACAGACTTCTAGCAGATCGGATATACTAAAGCCCATTGAGAGACTACCTCAGTCTCAAGTTGGAGCCCTCGCTCCCCTCTCCTCACCCCTATTATCATGATACGAAGTGCTACAGTGCAAAATTTGGAAGAAGGGCCATTGAGTGTGACTGGAGAAGGCCGAGAAGGCTTCATGCTTACTAACTGCAGCGTTCTTTACTTGGCATTCATGGAAACACTCTTTCCAAATTCAAACATGATTATATTCTGAATCTACTGCAAATGAAAATGGTTGTTTAATGGTCCCTGATTTCTAACAGTTTATAATCCAACTCTAAAATGAGCAAACATGTAGTTTAAAATACATATTTTTGGCTTGATATTTTGGTGGAAAGCAACAGTGACTAATAACATGCTGTTTGTTGCCACTTCTCCCACTTGGGTTGGTGAAGGTAAACGGAACTCAGAGTGGCAATGACAACACTCTGAAGGCCCCATCAATCAGCAACCCTGCAGCATCTCACCAGCAGAAAGTGGATTCATTCAGCCATCCCAAAAATCTAAAGAGATTTCTAGGATGCAGTCAGTGTGGGAAATTTGTATTCATTCATATAACAGAGACAATCATTTTTATCATAAGGAATGAAAATGAACAGAGATCGAGTGCCCAATTACTGAGTTTCAGTACCTTCATATACTGACAGACTAAGTAATTATTTCAAAGTCACATAAATAGTAAGTAGAAGACTTGCTGCATAAATCCAAATCTATCTAACACCATAGCTTATCTCTAAGGGCTCTTGAAAAGTTCATGGAAAATGTATGTTTTGGGAAAAAAAAATTAGGCATAGATTTCAAACTTTTTTGTACTAAAATAAACTCATATCTTAATCCCATTTCTCTTTTTGAAGTCCCCTAGTACTTTTCAACAAGGTAAGGCATGGTACCTTAATCAATCACTTGAAAAACAAAATACTTCCCAGTTAAGAAAATTATTCTTAAATCCAGTGACATCAACATCATTCTGATCACAGCTCAACTAAAAGCTATGTTCTTTTTTTTTTTTTTAAACGTTTTTGCCATACAGCACATGTGCTTGTTAGAAAGAGACAGAGACAAAGATAGGGAAAGTGAGAAATCACACCCCAGAGAGGATAACCACGCCACAATTCCTTCTCCTTCATTTTCCTCTAGGGATTTTGGACACACATACACACAGACCTGGCATGATTTTCAAGCCACCATGTCCAGGGCTCAAACTGTGGTCGGCCATGGGGGAGACCAGTGCCTTAACTACTGCACTACCAGCTGACTCCAATGTTCCTTTTTAGATATGAAAGTGTTTCTACTAAAAGAGACTGAGCTGCAGATGAAAGAGTCACAGGAAAATCCTGGAAGAAATAATGAGCCACCCTAAAACCCAGCCCAATGGCAATGAGAGGCACATTAACAAAATGTCAGTGATAATAACACAAATAAAAATCGTAAGGGCAACTAAAACATTCTGTGGTACAGCTCTGGAAACACCGAAGATAAAAGGCAGGTTATAGATAAAAGAATCAAGGATGCACCTTGCCCTACTTCCGTTGTCAGGAAGTCAAGCCTGGCCTTTATTTGAAAAAATGGAAAATATGAGACCTGTTCCTCTGTCAGAA